ACACAATACACACATATATATATATATATATATATATATATATATATATATATATATGTATATATATATATATATATAACAAAAATAATAAGAATAATAATAATAATAATTAAGTTTATTTCGAAAACACTCTTCTTCCCCAAAGGCTCGAAGCGCGGTACAAAGTCAACAAAAAACAAATCTATAATTTACCACATTTAAAACAAACGCAACACTACAAAAACTAATTTCAAGCATACAATGTCAAAGTCTTTCTAGCCATTTCAACGATAAGCAAAGCAGCCAATATGCATTAACTGGAAAATAAGGTAACAATCATCCCAGTAGGAGTTTGCGAAATAGATGTGTCTTTAAATCAGTTTTAAAGGACTTCAGTGTCTGGTTGTAGATTTGAGATGGGGCGATAATATATATATATGTGACTTTTGTAAAATCGAAGACTAACTAAATATTTTGACTTGAGGTATCAAATCGTATGATAATATAAACCATTTATTACATTCATACGTTGCATGGCATCATATGCAGGCTCTTATAATCAACCCTAAATTGTTACAGCATCTTCGGCCTTTGTAAGGTATAACTGTCTATTGATTATAAGGCAGGATAAAAACTAATCTATTTACTTTTATTTGTAAACATATTAAAATACTTTTGAACGGCGTTTTATGGTTCTCTTATGTCAAGGGTGTCTTTTTACTTATAACCGATCTTGTTTCGCAGCCCATCTGACCTGGTTAATGCTCTCGATCAAGACGTGTAAATCTATAGTGACATCAATTTTCCATCCCATTTCTATATCAGTAGACCGTCATCATTATTGCAGTTTAGGTCTGCTTTACGATAGAAAAAAGAAAATATTAATCGACCAAATAGGCGACTGAGAGAATTACAGACCGATTGTGGGAAAAGATTGTATGTGAATTTCCTGATCCAAAACGATTATTTCAAAACAAACCTCACAAATTATTTACTTTTCAGTTCAATAGTTTAATCAATCATCTTAAAATGTATACTTTTAAGTGTAGCTACGTACATTTCCCAAATAAAAATGTATAAATAAGGACAACTAGTTTTTTTCTTCAATGTATATGTATTTAAGCGGTGCGTAACATCGATGTATAAGATTAGCTTAGTTTACTCTAGACGCGCTAAAAAAAACTACCTAAGTGAGAGATTTACAAGAACCAATATAATGGGAAACGCAAATATGGCAAATAGATTTAATTGCAAATGAAAGTGATTTGAGCTGTAAGATATTTTTTTATCTAAGAAAATCGATCTCAATGAATGATAATAAGATAATTTGATCAAATGGAGTGTATCTTTGTGTTCATTTTCTGGGAAAGAGAGAGGTCGGATGTACCGACACGTTTTATAGAAACGTGATAAATTACATGGAATTTTATTGAAACGAGACAAATTAGGTAGAATTTTATTGTGTTACACTTGCACAAATTAGATCGATTACGTTTAATGTTATGATATAAAGCTATGAGTACACCAATACCAATATCAATTGAAAATTGAATTTTTATCAAGTTCTAGCATTGCGAAACACGCGCAAGGCACGGCTGTCTCGAGGGATTGATGGAGATTTGTTAGTTTCTTCTGTTCTAAGTAGTAAAATCCTCCGTAATAGGATTTAACTTGTTAGAAATTCATTCAAATGTAAGGGATTGGTCTACTGAGTTTGTAAATCGTTTAACAAACTAAATTTTAGTGTTGGGTGTTTTAAAAATAGTGGAAATAGTGGAATGATGTGTGTGGAAGATTGAAATATATTGACGGGACAATAAACGAAGAACTGTTTCGGCTAAGAGCCTTCCTCTGCAGACCGGACAAACAAATAAAGAAGTAACAAGAAATACAAAGAAGCTAAAAAACTTGTATTTGTATTGAGTTAGCCATCAAAGCCGAAAGTTGGGTTTTCCAAGAATTAACAGCATGTATGCATCTTTATTATAAAAAAAATAATATTTAAACGGACAAAAATATCATGGAAAGATGTAAGATTCTCACAGCTTCGATGCAGTTCTTTTTTATTAGTGTGGAAAGCAATGTTTATTAAATGGCTGATAGAAATTCATTGTTCACTGTGCTCGTCGCCGGGGGTACACAAGTAAGTGTCGGGAACACCTTATACAACTCCTCCGTCTTCGATACTCTTATCACGCAAAAGGAATTCATACCACTGATAGGCATGTACACCTCGGTGGATTTGATCCTTTCCTCTTTGGGTCTCATCACCAACGCTGTCAATATCAGAACCTTCCAGGCCATGGGAGTCAACGATGGGATCACCGTGTCATTTCTTTTCCTGTCGGCGTCTGAAGTCTTGTGTAGCCTTGCTGGCCTCGGTCAGAGACTCTCCATGGCGTTTTGGCTAACGGAAATGGCCACAGGTTATCACACTTGGTTTCATATTAACCCCTACGCCTTCATCGTGTACTTTATGCACATCCGCTCAGGCCTGTTTCAGATCCCCGTTTTGATAACCACGTACATGGCCGTGGTCAAGTGCATGTGTGTGGTCAACCCGCTGGGATTTAAAAACACGTTCTCCGTTGCAAAAACCGTTAAAATAATGGTTTGGATTAGCATGGTTTCGTTCGTCACGTCCATTCCTAACCTGGCTACCATGGGAGTCGTCGAAGTCTTCGACCAACAGGTCAATGTGACGCGACCCACCCTGTGGTTCCCGCACTATCGGGACATTGTGAGAAACATTGTCTGGAACGGTCGAGATTCGGTGTCCGCTATCACGTCGGAAATCGTCATCGTTGTTTGCCTGGTAGTCATGACCAGATCTCTATCGAAGGCCGTCAGTGTCAGAGAGGGTCTGAAGTCAGGCGGTGGAGAGGGACTCGATGGCAAGCCTCAAGGTAGATCTGGGAGTCATGGGAAGATATTCACTGGTAAGCTGAAAGGGAAAGAACTTCAGGTTATAAGACAAGTGACCTATATATCTTTGGTGTACATAGTTGGGAACACTCCCAAGATAATTGTGTACTTGGCCATTGCCCTGGTTCCGGGTCTAACTCAAGGCGGGCTTTACAAAAATCTTTATAACATCATCATAATAGGAAAAGAATCATGTGAGCTTGTGATATCGTGTGTAAATATTGTAATCTATTATAAGTACAATACCAAGTTTAGAGCATGCTGTCTTTTCAGAGTATAACTGTCGGGTAAGTGTGTGTCACAATTTATTTTGACATCATGAAACTCATCCTGAGAATTTGTTAGTGACAATTTTGTGACTAAAAATAAGAAAGAAATTAACGAATCACTTTTTTTCCTGAATATCAAGGATTGGATTGCAACGGAATTTTGTTTTTAAAAAACATGGATGTCCCTTGCAATGAAAATGACATCAGAGCTCGTTTTAAAATTCTAAAACATAGACTGCTATTATTTTTATTTAAATAGCAACAAGAATTATTTCCATGAGTATTATGGCATGTATGAATGCCTAAAATTAACGCTGTGGCCACTCTCACCTGTCTTCATTTTTTTTTTATATTAAGATTTCCGAGTAAATGTTCTTTGCCACTCCTCTTACCTACCCCGCCTTTTATTGGGGAAAGGTTGTGTACGTTCAAATAAGTTACATTCATTCTAAAGAACCCTATCAGCGGACGCCATTTCAAGAATTTCTTTTCTGGATGGTTCTAATTTAATCCTTATTTATAGGCCGGCATCTTTCCCAGACGGAGAATTTTGCAATATTTCCTTGACATATACGAGAGATAAAATTACATGATTGTATGTGTAAATAAATATTAGTATTTTTCGAGGATTGTACCTTTTCATTTGTTGTGTTGTAAATTTATTTAGCTAGTTTTTTGCTGTATATTTGAATTTGTCTTGAGATATAAATGTAATAGTATAATTAAATTGACTATTGTTGGCATCACTAGCTTTTGTATCGTTTAGTTTTTCAGCCCATTCTTACGTAGTGTCATACTACGGGCTTAATTCTAAAACAGATTAAAATTCAAAATCAAATAACGATACAGAACAATAAACTTCAGTTAAATGCAGTGTTTTGTTGCAAATCTACTTAGTCTAAAATAAAATGAACATCACTGCCAAACAAAAAAATCTTATATAACCAAATACAATTAAGTTTGATTAATAACGACAACCCACGACATTGTTTATGTTACTTTTAAACATAAAGTATTTTTAAAAAAAATACTATTACTTCTTTTTCAGTTTAATTTAATTTTTTTTTAAAATGTCCCAATGTTAATGCCATGATTGCAGTTTACGCGTTCTATTAACAAATATGTTTTAGAGCCTTTCAAAGGAATTGTTGACGCAGTCCTATTTGAAACTCCAAGCTCGTCAATGGTGGCATCAACTAGCTGGGCTGACCTGTCTACCTACCTACTTTTATTTTATTTTTAAGGACACTAATTCACAGTTTCCTCTCCAGCAATTTCGCAATTTCATCATATTCCCAAAAACAAAACAAAAACAAATGAGCTCCAAATAAGAGTGTACCCAAGTCTATGAAACATATCTAAGTATCCAAAAAAAATTTTTTTTTTTTTTTTGCCCCTTCAAAATAACGCTGTTCAGGTTCGAGGGTGTTTCAATAGATTTTTATGTCTAGATTATTTGTATAAAAGTTAAAGTTGAGATTATTGTAATATAGTTCGCTACTTTATCATAAAGTAAATATTTAAAATTGGGCTAAATAAACCGTCAGCATAATGTTGGCCGTAGTTATAATAACTTCACATTGAAATTAATTCCGGAAACAAAGGCCTTGCGGTGTTACCTTGCACTGGGTAATTGAGAGGAACATCTTAATTACCTAGAATCTGTGTGATGATTGTGAACAATGACTCGACAAGATTGATAGACATGGATAGAGTTGTCATGATGGGGCTAAATAAAATAATTGTCTCTAGTGTTAGCGGGATTGCAAAGAAATTTGTATGTTGATATTTTATGGTTTAGGAATAATTGCATGGTGCACCAAGGTTGCAATGGTAGTTAGTTACTTAAAATCAAACTAGATCTAATTAATTGTTCAATAATAACACTTGTTTGTCTCGGCGCTTGGAAGCAGCGGGGGGACAAGCAGACGTGAGATGATGAAATATAGACACTGATGACAATTTCATATGATACGTCTTTTTCAGAGATGACCTTCTCAGGCTAAAAAAAAAAGGGGGGGGGGCGCCCTGAACCATGACTCAAAGAAATAAGTATCAAGTGATCCAAACTCACTAAACCGAGACCAGTGTCAAATAATTGCAATTCTTAACCTAAGTGAGATGATGAAATATAGACACTGATGACAATTTCATATGATACGTCTTTTTCAGAGATGACCTTCTCAGGCTAAAAAAAAAAGGGGGGGGGGGCGCCCTGAACCATGACTCAAAGAAATATGTATCAAGTGATCCAAACTCACTAAACCGAGACCAGTGTCAAATAATTGCAATTCTTAACCTAACAGGCTGCAAGAATAGTTACATCAAACACGTGCATAATTTTGAAGAAAAGAAAAACATGAAAAGAAAATGTAATGAAACAAATTGAGACTGAGACGGTGCAATTAAGTTGAGAATTCAACGTTGAAATCGATGTGGATGTGTATTATTTCAACGGTAATATCGTGACTTCGATGCCGGATATTGTTTTGATTCGTTTGTAATAAAATATAAAGGATCAAACTAAAAAAAAAACACTGACAGAATGGAATACAACAATGATACGCTGTCACTATAAAGGTCGGTGTCCATCTTACTGTAAATAATGTTTACCACCCACATAATGGCGCTGTGGGTCACGGAGATGGCCACGGAATACAAAACCTGGTTTCACGTCAACCCTTACGCTTTTAACTCTTTCTTCGGAAACCTCCGAACCTGCCTCTTCGCCACTGAGCGGGACACTCACCAGAATATTGTGACTTGTGGTATCAAATCGTAGGATAACATACACCATTTATTAAATGCATACGTCGCATGGCATCACAAACAGGCTCTTAAAATTGACTCTAAGTTGTCACAGCATCTTCGGGATTTGTAAGGTATAACTATTTATTGATTATGACACATGATAAAAATTAATACATTTACTTTTAGCTGTAAACGTATTTAAAATAGTTTTGAACATCAGTTTACATTTTCTCTCATGTCAATGATGTCTTTTCACTTCTGTCCGATCTTGTTTCGCAGCGAATCATACCTGGTTAATGCTCTCAATTAAGACGTGTCATTCTAGAGTGACATCAATTTTCCATCTCATTTCTTTGTCAGTAGTCGGTCATCATTATTTCAGTTTAGGTCTGCTTTACCATAGATACAAGAAAAATCTTAATCGACCGATTAGGCGAGTGAGAGAATTTCAGACCGATTGCGTGAAGAGATTGTGAGATTCCTGATCCAATAACGATTACTTTAAAACAAACTCTCCTTTTATTTAGTATTCAGTTGAATACTGTTATCAACCATCTTAAAATGTATACTTTTAAGTGTAGCTATTTATCGTGTCAAAATAAACATGTGTAAATAACGACAATCAGTGTTTATCTTCAATGTACAGGTATGAATGCGACGCGTAATATTGATGTATTGGATTAGCTCATTGTAAACGCACTGAAAACTACTTAAGTGAGATATTTACAAGAACCAGTGTAATGGAAAATATGGCAAATAGATTTAATCACGCATTAAAGTGATTTGAGCTGTGAGATCTCTTGTATCTGAGAAAAACAATCTCATTGAATGATATTACAACAATTTAATCAAATTTGTGTTCACTTTCTGGGAAAGAAGGGTCGGGTGTAACGACACGTTGTATAGAAACGTGATAAATTACATGGAATTTTTTTATGCACACTCGCACAAATTATATCGATATTAGATTTGATTTTTATTATATACAGAGAAAGTACGTTAATATCGAAATCATTGAAATATTGAATTTTCGCCAAGTTCTAGCATTGCGCCACACGTGCAAGCCACAGGGGATGGATGGACATTTATTCGTTTCTTCTGTTCTCAGTAGTATCATCCTCAGTAATAGGAATTAACTTGTTAGATTTCCATTCGAATGTAAGTGATTTGTCGACTGAGTTTGTAAATCGTTTAAAAAACTAAATTTCAGTGTTTTTAAATAGTGGAAATAGTGGAACAAGGTGGGTGGAAGATTGAAACGTATTGACGGGACAATAAACGAAGAATTGTTTCGGCTAAGAGCCTTCCTCTGCAGACCAGACAAACGAATGAAGAAGTAAGAAGAAATACAAAGTACCTCAAAAACTTGTATTGGTATTGAGTTAGCCATCAATGTTAGAGGCAGAAGTTCGTTTTCCAAGAAGTAGCAGCATGTATGCATCATTAATATATAAAAAAAAAAGATTTTAACGAACAAAGATATTATGGAAAGATGTTAAATTCACACAGCTTGAATGCAGATCTTCATTTATTATTGTAAAAAGCAATTATTTTTTTTAAATGGCTGGTATAAATTCACTGTTTACTGTGCTCGTCGCTGGGGGTACACAAGTAAGAGTCGGGCAGCCCTTGGATAACTCCTCCGTCTTCGATACTCTTATCACGCAAAAGGAATTCAAACCACTGATAGGCATGTACACGTCGGTGGATATGATCCTGTCCGCTTTGGGTCTCATCACCAACGCTGTCAACATAAGAACATTCCTGGCCATGGGAGCCAAAGATGGGGTCACCGTGTCATTCCTTTTCCTCTCTGCATCTGAACTCTTGTGTAGCCTTGCTGGCCTCGGTCAGAGACTCTCCATGGCGTTTTGGCTAACGGAAATGGCCACAGGTTATCAGACTTGTTTTCATATTAACCCCTACGTCTTCAACGTCTACTTAGGGAACATCCGCTCGGGCCTGTTTCAGATCCCCGTTGTGATAACCACGTACCTGGCCGTGGTCAAGTGCATGTGCGTGGTCTATCCGCTGGGATTTAAAAAGACGTTCTCCGTCGCAAAAACCGTTAAAATAATGGTTTGGATTTGCCTGGTTTCGTTCGTCACGTTTATTCCTATCCTGGCTACCATGGGAGTCGTCGAAGTCTTCGACCAACAGGTCAATGTGACGCGTCCCATCCTGTGGTTCCCGCCCTATCGGGACATTGTGAGAAACATCGTCTGGAACTGTCGAGATTCTGTGTCGGCCATCACGTCGG